ATGGCAGAGCCATCACTTCAACAGTTAGGGTTAGGGTTTAGGGGTTAGGGGTTAGGGTTTAGGGTTTAGGGTGTAGGGTTTAGGGTTTAGGGGTTAGGGTTTGGGGGTTTAGGGCGCTGGCCGGCACCTCAGTCCGTGCTGAAGAAGGGTTTAGGGTTTAGGGTTTAGGGCGGATTCTGCATGTCATGAAGACCAAGCCCTAAACCCTCAACCCTGAACCCTAAGCCCTATAAACCCTAAGTTGACGTTTCGCCCTCATCTTGCAGGGGACCCAAGGAAGCACAAAACGCAGGAAAACCTGAAGTTGGTGCCTATCTTCGGCTGCTGTCCCTTACTTAGCCACAGTATACTAAACTTGCCCACGCCGCTTCTCCTAAATCCTGGGCCCTAAACACCTAACCCCTGACAGCCCCATTTTACCCTCGAGACGTCAAGGCCCTGGCTCGGGAGAGCAGCGGCGAGGTTGCCGAGGCAAGGGCCATCGTTGCTCTTGTTTTTTGAGTGCTGAGTTCATGGCTGCAGTGGGTTAGTTCAACTGAGCGCTCAACTGGGTAGTTCGGCATGTTGTCGCCTTGGGAAGAGTGTTCTGGGGGCGAAGGAGTGTCGTTTACCTCCGAGCGTGGAGTGAAGGGTCTTGTGACTTATGTTCAAGTGATTGTGCAACTTCATAACTTATAGGCTCCTTAAGGGAGGGTGGGTGAAGGGGGGAGGGTCCTAGGAGCTTGAGGGAATCTAAAGGAGTACTGGGTTACATACCCCCCTTAGGACCCCATCCCTTAAGGATTCCACAATAACCCTTACCCATAGGCCCCATAGTAGTTCCTTTTTGGGGTTCATATTTAGACTCCTATAAGGTAATCCCAAAAAGGGACTACTATGGGGCCTATGGCTATAACCCTAAACCCTAAATATGCCTCGCCTGGATTGCCGGAGTGTGAGCGCCGAAACCCTGAGAGACTGGGTGTCTGCTGGAGGGTGAGTGAGTGGGTGTACACGGGGCTTCTTCGGCATACATGCCCACAGTAATAATCAATAATATGAATAAATACTCATAGTAACAATAACAAAAAAATTACTAAAAATACAAAATAATGATAATGATAGTAATAAGTTTCGGGTTTAGGGGTTTAGGGTTTAGGAATTCTTGTTAAATAGGTGCTTACTTGAGAACATCGGTTTGGGGGACTAGGCTGCGCCGTAGTGCTAGGAAGACAGCACTGCAGCCCGAGTCGAGTCTCAGATTCCGAAGGGTTTAGGGTTTAGAGTTTAGGGTTTAGGGTGCAGCTGTACATTCTGCTCAGTAGTGGGGACTTGCTCGGTGGATATTCTGATTCGAAGGCCTGTAAGGGTTTTGTGTTGGAGAGTGCCCTCAGGTCGGGAGTTTAGGCTTCCGGGTCTTCTGGAGTAACGTAGACCACTCATGCATAGACCCCTTCGCTCTAAGGGTGGTAGGATGAAGATCCTTGTTGCAACTCGTGTCAAGGGAAGGGTCAGACATTCTGGCGTCCTCATGGCTGTTGGACCATGGTCCATCATGGTCGCTTCTGTCTAGTCTGTCTCGAAAGTTTCCAGGTTCTGCGGTGTTTTTCTTGTAAAGATGCCACAGTACCAACGACATGATCTCCTGCAAGAGACCCCGAATTCTGCAACTACGTCTGTGTCCTCTTCAAATTACAAAAAAACGCTTGTGCACGTCACTTTCGGGAGAAGATGCAGATCCAACGGGTGCAGTTTCTGTGATTTGCCGTGTCTCATCTCGCGCGCCTTGTTTCAGCAGGTGGTGACCAGGTAGGTAGTGCAAGTTTAAGGCCATGCACATGATGTCAGAGGAATAGCTGCGAGCGGCGATCGAGGCCACCCGGCGAGAGGCCGAAGAGGAGGAGGCAAGGCTCCCACAGCTTGAAGCCGAGACCCAGCAGGCTCGAGAGCGCTTCAGGTTGCGGAAAGAGCTGGAGGAGATGCGAGCCAGGCGGGAAAGAGCACAGCAGCGCAACGAACGTGAGGTTGAGCACCGACGTTTTCTTGACACTGCTCCGGCTGAAGGGGTTCGAGTTGAGTTTGAGCAGCATGAGAATCGCCCCCTGAAGAAGCTGGCGATGCAAACGAGTGGTGGAGCAAGCACCAAATGTGCCGACATGGTCGCGCGGGGCGAGTATGTTTGGAGGATCACAGGCTTTTCCTGGTTGAGTGGCATGCTCTGTCAGCAGGAGTCGGAAAATTCTGTATGGTCCCCGGCCTTCGACGTAGGCGGCGAAGTATTCCAGTTTGCGTACAACCCGACGGCGATGAGGATGGCCCCCATGGGTCTCTGGCCATAGTGCTGACACCTAGCAGCACCAGGCTTGCGCTTCGATGCCGCATCTATATCAAGGGACCGACTGGGGAGTTCGTGCAGTGGGATGAGATCCGACATGTCCAAGAGGGCCTACCAGGCCAGTCTTTTGCACACGGCCCGGATGTGTACTGGGGTCATGATCCTCCTGCTTCCCTGGGCATTTTCGGGCTGAGCCATGCAGAGCTGCTAAGGTCTGAATGGGTGGAAGATGACACCCTGACCGTGACTTAGTGGCTGAGTAGGTAACCTTTAACCTTTTGGGGCTCTTATAATCCTACTAATTATAATTCAAAAGGTTAACCTTTTTTGGGCTAGGGTACTCAGCCCCTAAGGTGAAGTTCGAGCTTGAAGTCCGTCCTTGGGGAGAACCAGAGTCGGAGCCGCTGAGGCCTTCGGTGGAGATTTCCGGATCGACCATCTGCCAAGACACACAGACCCTCTTTCAGCAAGGCAAGTGGAGCGACATCCTCTTCATGGTGCAGGGCGAGGTGATCCAGGCGCACTCGCAGATTCTTTGTGCGCGATCCGAGGTGTTCAGCAAGCAGCTGACGGGAGGCATGCAGGAGAGCGTCTCGAAAGTCATCGTGGTCGAGGACTGCGATGTCGCCACCTTCCGGGCTTTTCTGCAGTTCCTCTACACTGATCGCTTGCCGGACGTCCAGGAGCTCATGCCTGAGGGTGGGAACGAGACAGAGAGCGAAAGCCAACAGCAACTGCGGATTCAGGCGCTCCTAGCCGTGAGCCACAAGTATCAAGTGAAACGCCTCCAGCTTTGGTGCGAAGCGAAGCTTTCCGAAGATATCGACGCGTCACACGTTTGTGGCATCCTCTGCCAAGCCCATCTCCTTCACGCGAAGCATCTCGAGAACGCCTGCCTCTCCTTCATCAAGGACCACGCAGGCCAAGTGCTCACGTTGCCAGACTATGTTGAGTTGGTCAAGAAGTGGCCTCAGATTGGGTTGAAGGTGCACCTCTTCTCGGTCGGTGTGCTGGACACGGAAGCACTGGCATCTCACGACGCATGTTGAGAAAGTCCTTATGCCCGGCATGCTGCACAAAGACTGAACACAGAAACACCGCTTTGAGATTGGCTGAGTAGGTAACCTTTAACCTGTTGGGGTTTATATAATCCTACCATAATTCCATAGGTTAACTTTTTTTTCTGCTAGGGTACTCAGCCCCTAAGTGATCTCAGAAGTGCTGACCAAACGCATTCCGAAGAGCGACTAGGCTTCCGAAGAAGTGCTGTGCTCGAAGTTGGCTGCACGATACGGCGGGGTAGTTTGTGGCGTAGTGGCGGAGATCCTCACGTAGGGTTGCCGATAGGACTGGCCCTTCACCGTTTCGCAGCTTGTTAACGCACTGCGCGGGGTCGTTTGGGGCTGGCAGTCTTCTCTTCCTTCGTTCATTGAGCTGATCAATGACACATGGGTAGTTGTCAAAATTATGGTCCCTTTTGGGGTACCCTAAATAATAGGTGCCGTATTATAAAACGAACCCGAAAAGGGACCATAATTTTGACAGCCACCCAAGGTTGCGGCGGATCTTCCGGTTCAACGGACATAGCTAACTACTTGTAACTACAGCGGGGGACATCTCAGGGGTTGGAAGCTTTATCATGTGGGAACCAACATCTAGCGATTCAAGCTCCACATGTCGAACTCTCCAGCCAGACCCTCAACCCCAAATCCAGAAACTTTACGCCTCTAGCTTGTGATGGATCTTCGCTTCACCTGCTTTCTAGTGGCTGGAGACCGTCGAAGTTGGCTTTCGGGCCTGCAATGGGGGAAACCCCCTAAGCCCACCTTTGAGCCCCAAACCGTTTAGGATTTAGGGTTTAGGGTTTAGGGTTTAGGGTTGTTTCCCTGCATTCCTACATTCTCTGTGCGAGCCTCCCTTGAACATGAAAGTTTTCAACCGCTGTGCGGTCTGGTCTAACGAAGGCACAGAAATCAGCTGTTGTTAGTTGAAGGGGCCACCAAGAACAGATTTCGGATTTTCGTGCTTCGGGTTGCAGATTCGCCCTTCTTGGTGCTTCCCTAAACCCTAAACCCTAAACCTTAAACCTTTCCGAGAGTCCTACTTGGCAAGGGAGCCCTGTCCTGAACCCCAAAGCCTCAAAGGGGGTTTACCTACTGTCGAGCCTCTGAAAGTCGATACCTTAAAAGAAACCCCTAAACCCTAAATCCCTATAAACCCCAAACGCCCTAAACCTAAACGCCCTCAAACCCAAAACGCCCTAAACCCTAAACGCCCTGAGCTAAAACCCTAAGCCCTAGATCCCTATAGTCCCCAAAACCCTACACGCCCTAAAACCCCGAAATCCCTCAATCCTAAACCCTATAAACCCTAGACGCCCTAAACCCTAAACGCCCCAAAACCCTAAACCCTAAACGCCCAATCCGTCGCAGAAATGGCTCAAGCTGATGCGGAGCACCCCAAAGGCCTCTTGGGGCCAGCGCCCACAGAAGTTCCAAGGCCTGGCATGGACCAGGAGGACGGTTTGGGGTTTAGGGGTTTAGGGCGGGTTTAGGGGTTTAGGGGTTTAGGGGTTTAGGGTTTAGCGGTTTAGGGTTTAGGGGTTTAGGGTTTAGGGGTTTAGGGTTTTTGTTTGCCTCCTGCATGGCTGAGCAGGGTTTAGGGTTTAGGGGTTTAGGGTTTTTTTTGCCTCCTGCATGGCTGAGCAGGGTTTAGGGTTTAGGGGTTTAGGGTTTAGGGTTTAGAGGTTTAGGGTTTAGAGGTTTAGGGTTTAGGGGTTTAGGGTCTAGGGTGGTCTAAGGAAGGGGCGGAAGAATTAGTTATAGTATTATACTATGTATCCCCATGGAGTTCGGGCTTATAACCGTAGCTCAAAATGCCCCAACATCATTTTCTCCCGAAGAAGTGTGCTGCTGCACACACTACGGTGTGCGTTCGCGAAGCAGTAAGAATAAGTAAGAATAAAGAGAATTGGTTGAGTTGGCCGCGAGTTGGCCGCGCGGCCCGCCTTGAAAAATGTTACCGAGGGGCGGCTCCCGCTGTGGCGCGGCGCATATTCTGTGCACGCGCCTTCACATTGACACTGGATCTGCCGGGTGCCGGCTTGTGAACGGCCAGGTTCATTGAACATTCCCAGGCATGGTCCCTCAACCCTAAACCCTAAACCGTGTCTGCTGGTCTCTGGTGGTCTTCTGGCATCTCCGGGATTCTCCTCGTGATCTCCTGGTGGTCGTGGTCGCCCTGGTCCCAGTGGTGTTTCTGTCATTGTTTGGGAGCTTGGGCGTTCTCTGGTCATGAAGGCCCCCCTGCAATGATTTCAGGGGTAGGGTTGATCCATGGGTGAGTGGGTTTGGGGTTTGGGTTTGGGAGTGGTTTAGGGTTTAGGTATCGCCACCAGGCACTTCAGAGAGGCCACAATGCCGAGAAGAAGGAGGCAGAAGCACCCTAACACCTTCCGTGAATCCAGAAGATGCTGCCTAAACGGAGTAGATGATGCTTTCACAACAAGGAGCCCTGAACAATGCAGGTATGTGAGGTTTGGTAAGCCCTTATAACCCTAAGCCCTCCTCAAACCGTAGCCCAAAACCTGTAAACCTTTTATAAACCTTAAGCTCTAAAGTGGTTTTCACTGCAGTGCGACCTAGTCAGCGAAGCGACAGGGAAACACATCCTGAGACAAGAACTCCAAACTGCAGGAGTTCGCGCTCCTCCTGGATGCCAGCTGGATGGGCATGAGGCAGCAGCTCCTGGACGCCTTCCCACTGATGACAGCCGGCCGTGTCTCGCTGTATGTGCTGTAATAGGGGCCTGCATTAAGTAGAATAGGATTGGAGTGATATCATGGTATCCGGATACTTACACGACGATTATAAACTGCAAGTTACGGTCATGTAGCACTTAGATGAACTTCTGGCTTTGCGCGGTATGCAGACGACCCCTAGCACCCGCAAAGCCTCACAGTGCTTTGTTTCGTCAGCACGCCCACTTCCTCCAAGCGTATAGTGCGCAACCCCAATCGGGACAGAACCTGTCAGGCCGAAATGCTACCAAAGGACCGTAGCCCGGTTGTTGATTACAGAGTTACCACATGGCTTTGACTACCATGGTGAGGACCAGTACACTTGTCTCTGTTAGGCCTGTTCCTCTGGTTATTGTGCCTCAGCCCTAAACTTAGGTAGCCGGCCCATTTCTTATTTCTTGTGGCCTTAGGGTTCTCATGACTTAGAGAATGGGTTACTGGGTTGCATACCTCGGAACCAACCAAACGGACACATGCCCAGCCTCTGGAGAGACCGAGCATGATCGCCGAAGCCCATTATGACTCACCCTCTGAACACAAAACAAAAAATATAGTCCCAAGCCCTACACTCCCTACACCCTTCACAAACGCCCCGCTAAACACTTCGCGATGTTCGCGAATAAGAAGCCTGAGTAAAGCCTTGTGAGACCTATCGTAAGGCTTACGTAGTCCAGAAGCTCACAGGTGCGGGCAGTGCAGGTGGAAGCTCTGGTTTCCACTCGTCTCAAGACTCCTCAGTCGGCGCATCAGGCGGGTGAGCGACCTTCAGCGAATGGGTTGTGAGCCCAAGTTCCAGCAATCTGAACTCGAAAGCAAATGCCAGCGAGACTGTGAATAAGTGAGTGTGAGAGAGAGAGAGACAGAGAGACAGAGAGACAGTGAGTGAGAGCGAGGGAGGGATTGTTTTGTGTTGAATATGGGAGATTGGACAATATGCATATGAGGCTATATGCTTCTTTTTTGGCTTCCTACAGCGTTCTAGTATGTTTCCCAGTATGTTTGGCACCTAGGGCAGGGCATGGGTTCAGGATTTTAAGAGTCTGGCGAGTAGACAACTTAATGTTGGGGCGTTAATAATTGCCTCTATAAGTTTGGGGGTTCCTTATTATATCTATAGTATAATATACCCCAAAACCCTATTCTAATTGTTAAGGCCCCTACATGAGACTCTTGGAAACTATTGTAAAGCCCTGTAAATGCTTATTGGCAGGGTTCAGGGATCAGGGTACTCGGGGAGTTTTCAGATTGGGGATTTGGTAAAAGGGTTTCTTTTTGTTTCAGCAGATTGTGAGAGTTTAAAGTAAAATTTCGGGTGAGGGTTGGGGGTGGCACTTTGCTAAGCATTTCCTTTCTGAGGGTTTGGGGTAACGTTTTGGGCAAAGGCTTTGGAGGTTTGGCTTTTGCTGCTAGGTTTTAGGGTTTAGGGTTTAAGGGTTTAGGGTTCAGGGTTTAGCGTTCCTTTGTGTTACCGAGTTTCTAAATGAATGTACGCGCAGTTACACGCATACAAACAGTTTGTATACCTGTAGATACTATTGCGCAATATGTCTATATGCATACACACATACACCTACAATAGCTATTTATAGACCTTCATACAGTCTCGGCCAAGTCTATACATATACGTACAGGCCTATGTATGCACATATGTATCTTGCTTACACGGGGGCAACTTAGAAAAGGTTTAGAGCTTAGTTGGTTTTGATAAAAAAACGGAAACGGATTTAATGAGTAAGCTCTCATCAGGGTTCAAAGCTGTGGGATCCATTGTTGCGAAGCCCGGGATGCTCGGATACTCCCAGGTGTAGGGCCCGCTCTGGAAATCCCCAAACCCTAAACCCTAAACCCTAAACGGTCCTTAAGGTCCTTAATCCGAATCCGCTCACCCGAAGTCCGCTCGGCATATCCCCAAGGCAGGATCCGGTTAGTAAAGGAACCCCGACACCAAGCCACTCTCCATTAAACTTTAACCAGCCCTAACCCCCCAGGTAGCTACTACATAGGGCCCTAGGGGCTCTAGTACCCTATATAGTAGGTACCTGGGAGGTTAGGGCAGAGTATACCAGACCGAATAAAGAGCGATGGCACATCTTTAAGCCTTCAAGGACCACCTTCATCTCAGATGTTATATGAAGCACCGTACTGACCATTCCTGCCAGTGCACCGGCAACCCTTAAATCCCTGGAGCAAATTCCGGAGGTTTGGGCAGTCCATCTGGGTCCGTTCCAGCTCTTCCAGTCCATATCCCCC